GCTTTAATATTCACAAAGGCTTGTAGATGATGTGTTAGCTACATTTTGTCAAGAGGATGTAACAATTGCAAGGGTGTTTCAGCTTCCTTTGGAGTCCTTCATAGTTTCCAGTTTAAGACTTAGGTGTAACTTTCAACTGTTACTTTTGGCTGAGGTTCCTGCCTTATGTACCTAACGCATCTATGTAATTCACAGACTTCAGAAAAGGCTGTTATACTAAAAACCAGTTTTCTTTATTTACACTGTGGGTGTTTTTGTGACTTTGCTGTTCCCATTGCTGTAGTATATGGGATATCATAGAATCATTTAGGTTGGAAAAGACCTTTAAACTCATCAAGTCCAACGGTAAACCTAACACTGCCAAGTCCACCAGGAAACCGTGTCCCTAAGTGCCACATCTACATGAAATAGAATTCCTTTTTTTTTTGTTTGTTTTGTTTTTCTGTTAAACCTCTGTACAGTAAGGATTAGCAGCTTGACCTCCCAGTTCTTCAGCTTTAATATTCACAAAGGCTTGTAGATGATGTGTTAGCTACATTTTGTCAAGAGGATGTAACAATTGCAAGGGTGTTTCAGCTTCCTTTGGAGTCCTTCATAGTTTCCAGTTTAAGACTTAGGTGTAACTTTCAACTGTTACTTTTGGCTGAGGTTCCTGCCTTATGTACCTAACGCATCTATGTAATTCACAGACTTCAGAAAAGGCTGTTATACTAAAAACCAGTTTTCTTTATTTACACTGTGGGTGTTTTTGTGACTTTGCTGTTCCCATTGCTGTAGTATATGGGATATCATAGAATTGTTTAGGTTGGAAAAGACCTTTAAACTCATCAAGTCCAACGGTAAACCTAACACTGCCAAGTCCACCAGGAAAACATGTCCCTAAGTGCCACATCTACATGAAATAGAATTCCTTAGTGAAATAGAGCAAGTAACACTGTGATTGGTTTTGGTAGATGGGGAAACAGGGCCTCAAGAAGCATTTAAAAACATCACCCAGGCAGTTTGTGCTGAAATCTGGGGAGGAATTGAGGTCTTTCCCAGGTCATGTGCCCTGTTTGTATTTCTGGTTATACTAATAGTCCTTAGTATTTATATCCCAACCTACTCTTTGTGGAAGTTCAATATTGAACCTTGTGGTGCTTAAAAGCTGCTGGGCATTTCTATTACATTTAAGCTTTGAATGGTTTTGAAATGGTTTTCTAGAAACCATTTGTGATGATTTGTGGTTTCTTACTTCTCCACATATCATAAAATGTGGAGTTCTTCCTCGGACACAAATTCTGTTCTTTGCAGCTCTGCTTTATGTTTTCACAGGTTTCCTGTTTTGCCATTCAGAAAATTATTATGTTGTGGAAATGCAATTGACCAGTCAAATTGTTTACATACTTAATTTTATGATTTGCCGTGTGTACTTGTTATGAATTTATCACTGTACCGTTCAAGCAGATTTGCAATGGTTAATACAGGTGGAGTTCCTTCCAATAGAACAAACTGGAAGCATTTTTTTCCCTTGTTATGAATTAATGTGGAATTTCTCACTTGCCCATGCTTGGTATGACAGTAAAACTGTATAGTTCTGCTGCTGTATTGCTCAGGATAGATTTGTCTTCATTTGTGAAGAGGTGAAACTGGTATTTATGAGCCATCTTTGAGCAGACACAGTTTACTGGGTAATAGAGGCTCATACTTGACAGAGATGAAACTACTTCAGTCAGCTACTTTAATGCTCAGAGCTTCACATAGTGGCTCAAATGCTTCTTTGAATCTCAGTACAAGTATGCATATATTCCTTCTCATTTGTATACTTTCCTAAAGAGATAATTTTTTCTTTTTTTTCCCCTCCCTAAGATATAATTGACCCAGCCATCCTGCGTCCTGGGAGATTGGATAAAACGCTCTATGTGGGTTTGCCACCACCTGAAGATCGACTTGCTATTTTAAGGACCATCACCAAAGTGAGTATTTGGAAATATATCCTTATCTCGAAGCTTGGCAGAATGATTTAAGGCAAATTAAATTTTACGGAGGATTACAGGATCCTGTCTCATGAAACACCTTCAGATATTACATGAGGTCATAAAAATAAACCACCAGCCACATCTGCTGTTAAATTTGCTCTGAGACTGCGAGGAGTTGATAATTCTTGAGTAAAACAAACCTGTTAAACATAGAAGCTGCTATCTTTATAGTCACAGTTTGAACAGATTTAATTAAAAGATTACTATCTGGGTGAGTAATGGTCCTAGAGGTGTTTTGTAAGCTTTTTTGGAGGGGGTTCCACACATTCACCAAAGTGATTCACAAGCTCTAGCTGTATTGCTCAACAGTAATTGTGACACAACTGCCTTTACAGTGGAAGGAAGCTTGTGGTGGTAGAGGTTGTAGGTCAAAGTAAATATAAAAATGTAAAATGCCTGCCTTCATGTGTCCTCCCTGTGGTTTGTGGCACATTCTGCTACTTCAGAGATTTGGATTATAGGATTCTATTTGAGTATTTCTGTAAGTACGGTACAGCAGTAATGAAGGCCTCAAAAAAAAAAAAGAACAGACAAAGCATTATTAATTCCTCAGATATTTCCTATTTTTTCTGGTAGATCAACATTGATTGTTAAGAGCAGATGTCCACCAGGTTGTATTTTGAGCTGCAAAGGAGACCAAGTCTCTACTGTAGAGAAAAGGCAGCACTGTGCTATGAAAAGTGTGGCAAAAATTATTTAGCAAATTTGTAAAGATGCTAATTGACTTTCACAGACTTCAGAAAAGGCTGTTATACTAAAAACCAGTTTTCTTTATTTACACTGTGGGTGTTTTTGTGACTTTGCTGTTCCCATTGCTGTAGTATATGGGATATCATAGAATTGTTTAGGTTGGAAAAGACCTTTAAACTCATCAAGTCCAACGGTAAACCTAACACTGCCAAGTCCACCAGGAAAACATGTCCCTAAGTGCCACATCTACATGAAATAGAATTCCTTAGTGAAATAGAGCAAGTAACACTGTGATTGGTTTTGGTAGATGGGGAAACAGGGCCTCAAGAAGCATTTAAAAACATCACCCAGGCAGTTTGTGCTGAAATCTGGGGAGGAATTGAGGTCTTTCCCAGGTCATGTGCCCTGTTTGTATTTCTGGTTATACTAATAGTCCTTAGTATTTATATCCCGACCTACTCTTTGTGGAAGTTCAATATTGAACCTTGTGGTGCTTAAAAGCTGCTGGGCGCTTCTATTACATTTAAGGTTTGAATGGTTTTCTAGAAACCATTTGTGATGATTTGTGGTTTCTTACTTCTCCACATATCATAAAATGTGGAGTTCTTCCTCGGACACAAATTCTGTTCTTTGCAGCTCTGCTTTATGTTTTCACAGGTTTCCTGTTTTGCCATTCAGAAAATTATTATGTTGTGGAAATGCAATTGACCAGTCAAATTGTTTACATACTTAATTTTATGATTTGCCGTGTGTACTTGTTATGAATTTATCACTGTACCGTTCAAGCAGATTTGCAATGGTTAATACAGGTGGAGTTCCTTCCAATAGAACAAACTGGAAGCATTTTTTTCCCTTGTTATGAATTAATGTGGAATTTCTCACTTGCCCATGCTTGGTATGACAGTAAAACTGTATAGTTCTGCTGCTGTATTGCTCAGGATAGATTTGTCTTCATTTGTGAAGAGGTGAAACTGGTATTTATGAGCCATCTTTGAGCAGACACAGTTTACTGGGTAATAGAGGCTCATACTTGACAGAGATGAAACTACTTCAGTCAGCTACTTTAATGCTCAGAGCTTCACATAGTGGCTCAAATGCTTCTTTGAATCTCAGTACAAGTATGCATATATTCCTTCTCATTTGTATACTTTCCTAAAGAGATAATTTTTTCTTTTTTTTCCCCTCCCTAAGATATAATTGACCCAGCCATCCTGCGTCCTGGGAGATTGGATAAAACGCTCTATGTGGGTTTGCCACCACCTGAAGATCGACTTGCTATTTTAAGGACCATCACCAAAGTGAGTATTTGGAAATATATCCTTATCTCGAAGCTTGGCAGAATGATTTAAGGCAAATTAAATTTTACGGAGGATTACAGGATCCTGTCTCATGAAACACCTTCAGATATTACATGAGGTCATAAAAATAAACCACCAGCCACATCTGCTGTTAAATTTGCTCTGAGACTGCGAGGAGTTGATAATTCTTGAGTAAAACAAACCTGTTAAACATAGAAGCTGCTATCTTTATAGTCACAGTTTGAACAGATTTAATTAAAAGATTACTATCTGGGTGAGTAATGGTCCTAGAGGTGTTTTGTAAGCTTTTTTGGAGGGGGTTCCACACATTCACCAAAGTGATTCACAAGCTCTAGCTGTATTGCTCAACAGTAATTGTGACACAACTGCCTTTACAGTGGAAGGAAGCTTGTGGTGGTAGAGGTTGTAGGTCAAAGTAAATATAAAAATGTAAAATGCCTGCCTTCATGTGTCCTCCCTGTGGTTTGTGGCACATTCTGCTACTTCAGAGATTTGGATTATAGGATTCTATTTGAGTATTTCTGTAAGTACGGTACAGCAGTAATGAAGGCCTCAAAAAAAAAAAAGAACAGACAAAGCATTATTAATTCCTCAGATATTTCCTATTTTTTCTGGTAGATCAACATTGATTGTTAAGAGCAGATGTCCACCAGGTTGTATTTTGAGCTGCAAAGGAGACCAAGTCTCTACTGTAGAGAAAAGGCAGCACTGTGCTATGAAAAGTGTGGCAAAAATTATTTAGCAAATTTGTAAAGATGCTAATTGACTTGCGTAAGCATAAACTTGTGGTGTAGGCAATAATTAATCCCAGAGGAAAATTCAGAAAGCAGTAACTCACTCCAGCATGTTCTTTCATGCCAAAACGGCTGCTCAAAAGTCAGACTCTCTCATTACAAATTTAGGACGTTAGACTTTTTCCTTCATTTGTTCTCTGCATTACTTCATGGAGGGGAAAAAAGTAAGTATGCCCCCATTTGCTATTAGCAATGCATCAGTTTATTAGTTTTATAAAAATATTTATAAAAAGAAATTCTATTTATAAAAAGTTTTATAAAACCATTTCAGTTAAAACTTAACCACCCTGTTCTTAAAAATGGTTGCCTTTTAAAGGATGTAGAGAGAATTTGAGTGCAATGAATCTCTTTTGAAACGTACTGTAAGGACTTGTTTTTTATTTTACCAATTTTATTTTTAAAGGTAACTCAAAGTGCTCTTTAAAAACTGGGCTAATATGATTGTTCTGACTTTATACAAGCAACCTTGTTCTCCTGGAAGAAGTGGGTGTTGTGGGTCAGTCACTAGACTGAACAGAGCAGGAGGATTCTGTGTCAGAGGTTAGGTTTGCTCTGGTTTTTTAACATGTAGGGGTTGGGCCTTTACTCGCTTGAATTTTTGCTGGAGAATCTTTGGAGATTTGTAACTCTCTCAGGCTCTGACTGTAATTAGTGGTGCAGCAAAACAGCTCTGCAAAGCTTGGTGGAAGACTTCCCGGGAAGAGGAGGTGGTGTTAAACAGAGCTCATCTCTCTCGTGCTCTCACACCACACACAGTCACCAAGGCACCAGCATCCACTTGGGATCACTTGTGTGGAACAGTGAGGAGAAGGAACTCTGTGCTGAATCCTCACTTCATTTCTTGGCTTCCTCTTGACAGACGGATCGTTAGAGAGAGCTGTTTTCTAGATTGCCTTTAAGAATCCAGCAGCTGAGAATCGTGCTCACTCCAGCTGCCATAAATCTTGGGCGAGGTTGCTGAAAAGTGTCTTTGCTCCCTCCTTCTGGGAATCTTCGTGGCTCTAGTCCATCCTCCTGTTGGAATGACACCAAGAGGAGTGGCACATGTGATGTGGTAACCTTGTCATTATCCTCTTATCAGAGCATATTTGTCTTCTGCTGACAAACCGTCTTTGCTGTTGCCTTGTCTGATTATGGGCCTTCTTGTGACAAAAGCGACACATCACACGGTGTTTCCCAGCTCTGTTCCTGTGGATCCTGTCCTTGGTTATTTTTGGAATGCCAGATACTTCCATACAGACTTAATTCCTATTAGTCTTAATATTTTGGTTCCAGATCTTTGTAGTGAATGAGTTGCTAAGTCTTTGATGGATTTTTTTCTCAGCTTTTAATTGAGAGCCCAGCAGAAAGAGACACAAACACTCTCTGAACGAGTCTTTTCCTTGCATGTTTCTGTCTTCATTCCATGAGGAAGCTGGTGCTGTTCTCACTTCACTGCTTCTGCAGTCACCATGGTTCTCATAAAGCTAGGAAAAAATTCCTATTTCTAGTGCAAAAACCAAGAAATAGGTTGTTATTTTCTTTAAAAATGTTTAGGAGCTATCTGCAAGGAGAACATGCAATATGGAGAGAGGGAAATACCTTAAATTAATTGAAATACCTTATTTTTTGTCAGACTTCGTCCATGCATTCTAAGTAAGGAAATTTGAAAAATCTGTGTACAGGAGCACTTCCTTAAATATGTGCTCAGAGCTAGATAAAATAAAATGTTGGGTGCAGATGTGAGTGGCTTCTGGGTGACTGTTTTCCTGATTCCCAGAAATCCTGGAGGAATACATGCACAGGATGTGGAAGCTGGGAGTCGCTGCCAAGGGAGAACACAGATGCTTATAAAAGCAGCATGACCAATAGAAAAGGGAGCTATGGGGAGGAATAGTTTGTAAGGAAGACAGACAGCCTAAATGTAGGTTGAAGATTGTTGTGAAAGAGTTTTATTTCAGTTAACTTGTACAAATCAGTCATTTCCAAATTGCATATTAATTATGCAAGAAAAGCGTGTCTTCACACGTTGAAGTTACTGGGATGCTCACCTTTTCCCAAGCTGCATCAGGCTTCTCTGCTGCACATACTGCTGAGCTTGTCTCCAGCATTGGCAGATCATCCCGCTCAAAAAATGCCCAATATACTAATTAAAGCAGTAGGGAAAACATCTCTATTTAGCAGAGAAAGTGTCTTGTACAACAGTCACTGAAGTATCCCCTGTGAAATCAGACGGGGCTTCCTTCTTTCCAGGTTGAAGTCTGTCCTTTCAAAATCAGGCTGCTCCTTTGTCTTTTTGTTGGGTTGGGTTTTTTTTCCCCCCTTTCTAACTGGTATTCTACCAAAGATTCAGTTCAGATTGCTCCCTTACTCTGCCGACTTCTTGATTATTCTACTATCTGTTAAGTATTCGAGGGTTTAACTTGCCAGTTACTATGTATTTTATTTTTTTTTCTTGAAGTTATCATAGGTATGTGGTATATTAGCTCACCTGAAGAAGTCAGAAAAGAATTATATGAAGTTGTGCATTTCTGTAAAATGAGTTTCTGGCAGAAATAAATCAATTGTATCAAAAAGTGCCCTTTTACGTCTGAACTCCAGTGTTTGATACTATAGACATCTAGAATCTCTGTGCTCCCGTGACATGACTTTACTGTTGAATAAGGTTAATAGGGACATCTCCACGCTTACAGTGTTTGAAAATTTTTTGGCTAGTTTCAAGTGTAATTTATGATGTTGTTCAATATTTTTTGCCATGGGAGATGCAAAAATAATAACAAAAGAAACCACTTCTGGGATCTTTATGGGGAGGCAGCAATAATGTGGAAGTGTAATGTCAAGAAGCCTACAGGAATGATTACAGTGTATGTCAACTTGTATGAAATCCAGAGTGGAAAACTTCTAAGTTTGAAAATGTATGTCTAGAACATAAAAAAGACAATTAATTCAGTCCTAAAGGTGATGAGATAAGACTAAATCTACATGCTTATTGCTTAACTATTTGATTTCAACACACAGTAAAACTAGGGGAAGTTCAGCTCAACAAATGCTGTTGCTGCAATCACCTACTTAAGTCACAACTGGCATCTGGGATAGTGTCCGTGTGACACTGCCCTGGGACAGGCTGCCTGTGTTTTTTTGGAGGAAATCTAATCCATTAGTGGAAGTTAAAAATTAGCATTACTTATTATTTCATAATTAAATGTTTTTAAGGCTGGTTGTCCTTGCTAGTTTGAGATTAAAAATGTTCGTATTTGTGGGTGTTTCAGGGAATTTGTCAGATGCCTGTGTGATTCATGATAGATGAAACTTAATCACTTCAGAGATGATATGTGTTAAAAAAAACAAATAAAATAGTCTTTTCTTATCTTCCTCATTTTATTATCTCAACTCCTTTAGAATGGCACCCGGCCTCCACTAGATACGGATGTAAGCCTTGAAGAAATTGCTTACAGTCAACAGTGCGATTGTTATACGTGAGTAGCTCCTAGTTTTGAGTTTAATATTTAATGTGAAGTGCCCACAGTCTTCTGCTGCATGATAACATGTGTTATGGTGTTATTAAGAGGATCTCTGAACTTTTTATAAGGGTTTATAAGCCTTATGCTGTTTTTCTTGCTTTCACTTACACTTTTTTCCAAAGAGTTGGTAGGAATGGGTGGGTGCTAAAGGGTTTTTCACCTGGAATAGTCCTCTTCATGTTGTAACTACGAATCAGTAGAGGCCTCCTGGTTTTATTTTAAAATTCTTGCATAATCCAAGGATAAAAGAGCCCTCTTTAAGTTGTGGACCCATATACAGTCATGATGAAAGCAAATTGGTTGAACAGCCATAACCGACTTGTTGTGTCACTCAGTTGGAAGCACTGTGTTTGAGGGGTAACGAGGGCCCATTTCAGCTTGTGCTTTGGGAATACCAAGGTGTGGTTTTTAGGGAAGCCCAATAGTCATATCTGTCAGAATAATTTGCAATGGCATTCTACAAAGCTTCAAAAAGCTTTAATCTATTAAATTTATTAATAATTAATGACTTTCTGGAGTTCAGAAAATATAGCTTATGACATGCTGCTTGTCACAATATTGCTTTTGAATCTTAGAAATGGAGCACATTACCAGTAAGGAGTTTTATTTTGTTGTTGTTTCATAATTGGGAAAAAATACAACTTTTTCTCTGCCCCTTTCTCTCACTGTCTTTTTTTTTTTTTTTTCTTTGAATCTTAGAAATGGAGCACATTACCAGTAAGGAGTTTTATTTTGTTGTTGTTTCATAATTGGGAAAAAATACTACTTTTTCTCTGCCCCTTTCTCTCCCTGTTTTTTTTTTTTTTTTGCCAGGGCATGTGTATGGTTTTTTGGAGTTTGTTTTGGGTTTTTTTTGTTATGTTGTGTTTGGGTTTTGTTTGTATTTTGGGTTTTTGTTGTTTGTTTCTGGGTAGGGTTTTGTGGTGGTGGTTTTTTTTCTCTGGTTGGGTTTGTTTTTTAGGGTTTTTTTGGGTTTTTTGTTGGTTTATTTTTCTTAAATATAGCAGTATTCCTAGCACCCCCAAATGAAGCATGGAGGGTTAATTGCAAAAATTTTCTGTGGTTCAATGACTTGCACTGGTTTGAAGGCTTGTAAGCAGTTCAACAGCTGGAAACTGGAGACAAATATTTAGAAAGACTGATCTAACAATGTTATGTGGATACTATTATTTTAAGAGCATGGTAACTGTTGGTGCAGCTCTGAGCAAGGCAAGTCCCTTTTGTAATAATGGCTGATTCCCTTTGAATCTTTCATGAGACTGATGCAAAAAAAAAAAAAAAAAAAAAAAAAATTCCTTGAGCACAAGTAAACAGATCACATTCATCCTGCACAGACTAAGATGTGAACTTTAGTCTGAACTTATACTAAATATCACCATATATCTCCACATAAGATGAAAAAAAAAAAGAAAAAAAAAAAAAAAAAAAAAAAAAAAAAAAAAGTATCTTGTTCCCAAGTGGCATGATATTAATCAATCCTTTGGTATTTTTAAGGGTGTTGTGTGGGGTTTTTCTCTCTTCTCTTCCTTGTCTTTTATTTGATCTTAATCTGTGGCTAATGTCTGGAGGACATCATATCAAGGGCTGCAGCACTGGGGAGTCCCTGGACCTCTTTCCAATGTTCTTAAGATGAATCTTTATGACAGCACAACCAGTCTCTTACCATCATGATCATTAGTGGCACCTCACTTTTCCATGTGGCATCAGCAAAAGAGGAGAGAAATTTATCCTAAAATAACCTATTGTGTTTGTATCTGCAGAGGGGCAGACCTTTCCGCTCTCGTGCGTGAGGCTTCCATATGTGCCTTGAGACAGGAGATGGCCCTGCAGGATATTCAGAGCAAGAAAGGTAAGAAAGTTTTACAAAAATCTTAACTGAGCAGCGAGCAGATAAACGGAATGGAAAGGATTTAAGGTAGCTCAAGACAAGCAGAAAGGTGTGCACACGGTACGTAAGTGATCGATGACTTCTGAGCCAAACAAAAATTAAGTCAGATTTTTTTTTTTCAAGAACACACAATTGTCTTTGAAGTAGATGTAGGGGACAGCACAGGAAAAAATGCTTATGCTTTTTCTAAAAGAATTGAACCTTGTAGCCTTAAAGAAAAGTTTATGTGAAATAGTAGTCTAACCTGACAGTTTATATACCAGAACTTAACACAGACTGAGTAAGTCTTTGCCAAATTTCCACATTGCTACCAAGGACTAATTATACTAATTATACTGCCTTATTTGCAGACTCGAGTACAGTTGTCTCTGCGTACGTACTGGTGGCACACAGTGGTATTGTGTAACTGAAATCACGCAGCTATTAGTAATGGCAGGAGGAAAATCTGAGTGCAGTTTTTGATCTTAGGGGTTTAGCTCATCAGTGGCTCTTGCCAGGACTTTAACAGGGAGTTATAAATTGTTTCAAGTACAGCGTTTGCCCTTTTCATCTCTCTCTGCACTTTTATTTCCCTATTTTTTAAATTACTGTTTTTACTGTGCAGATAGGAAAATGGAACTGGAAATTGAGACTCTTTTATACAAAGTGTTTATCTAGATTTTTTCCAGTAGCTTTGTTGTTTTACCCTTAAGTCAAAATGCAAAGCTAAGATGGAATTGTGATTTTTCACATTATGTTCTTGGAAAATATATTAGCCTTTCATTATGCCTCTGATCTCTAAGAACCATGCTGGAATTTTAATGGCTTTGAATCATTCTTTTTGATGCAGTACATATCCAGTCTCATCTGGTTTTTAACAGCAGTAGGTTAACAGAGCAGAATGTTTGTATTTCTTGTTTTGAGGGAACTAGCCTGTTCATTTGAGGAGGTGGGGGGGGAACAAACTATAAAAACCTTTGCTGTTTTATGACTTAGTTACCTATTTTGCTTGCTGTAGATGAAGAACACTCTTGATTTGAGATGGAAATTGCTGAATTTATCCTTGTCATCAGAAATCACAGCGAACTCTGTTAATCCAAGTAGCCAAGGTCTAAGTTACTGACAGCTAAATTCTCCCTAGTGTCAAGCACTGTGCATGCTTTTATCATGCAACAAGCATGAAGTAGCCTAATTTATTTCAATGAGAGGTAAATTACTTTAGCTGGCAGTAAGTAAAAGTGTGCTTATACCGAGCTACAGCTAATACTCTTACATTGGTATCACAGACTCTTTCACCTTGACTTTTTCCTCCCTATAGTTGAGGCTATAAATTGTTTCACAACTTAGATTAAAAAGTTACAAGCTTAAAAACAAAAGTGAAAGCAAAATTAAATCTTCATAGCTTCATTTTATGGAGTTCTGATGACTCAAAGTAATTTGGCTTCTATGAGAGACCCAAGTGGAACTTTTTTTCTTACTGTAAGCAGTGTTTTCATGGGGAAATAAATTTTAAAACTGGTATTTTTGATTTACATCTTCATTTATACTGGTATAACTTTGTTAATGAAACTCTTATTCAAGAGCTTCAGAGAACTGAGATGAGAAGGAGCAGCAAGGTTGTATGCTTACTTTAGTGAACTTGAACCTTCATCTTGACTTTTAAAGGAAGTAATAATAATTGTAGACTATTTGCTATTCTGTTGTATACCTTTAACAAGCTTTCATCTTTAGTGCCTTCTATCTGCTATGTAGTCCTTTGCTGTATCAGCAGAAGAATTTTGTTTAACTCTGACATCAAATATATTAATGAGGAATCTTAACAGATTTTTAACATCAGCACATCCTGTTTCATGTGACACAGATGTATGCAGAGGTCGTGGCAGTACATATCTATGGAAGCAAAGAGTCTCTTAATGAAATACATAAAATAAATGCACCAAATCGACTCTAAAGATATAATTTTTCTACCTCTCATCTCTGATACCTGTGTTAGCATTGTAACAAACCTGTCTAGTAGTGGTTTCTTGGGATTCTTAAGTCTGGATTAAACAAGGCACTTGGTTGTGAGAGCAGAGGAATCCACAATCTATTACAGGCATGCTTACATTTTAGTATGCTAAGAAAACCTGTTCAGAAGGTTATGACGAGGAATAATTTTACGATGAGGAATAATGACCGTGGACAGCTGCACTAAGGTCAAAAAGGCAATTTGCATAAACTTAAACACAGGGAGTTGTAAAAATGAAAGCTTTCATCACTTCTGGGTAATGCCAGACACAGCAATGATATGAAGGCAAGTATTTAGGAATTGAGCATCCTGGAGTAGAATTGGAATGGTAACAAAATGTTTTCTGGGTGCTCACTTAATAACGCTCTGTAGGGAAGCTTAATATTAAATATGGATAGAAAATAAAGCCCAGAACTGGAAGCAGCAGGATTTGAGGCATTCACTTCCAGAAGGGCTAAGCAACTTGAATTCTAACTGGGTTTGATGGAAGCTGCAGTTAACTCCGCATCCTTGAGAATGAAATTCCCAGTCTGCAGGTAGGTATTTATTAGTAATACCAAATATTACTAATGCCTAAATAGTAATACCTAATATAACTTGTAATACCTAAAATAACTTTCTGAAACAAGTCGGTAGTATTTGGCTTAAGCTGCAAGGGACAGAGGCATTAAGATCTTCCCTAAAATCACAGACAGGAGGCTATATAGAACAGAAGAGTTTGGGTGTTCGTCACTTCTGAATTGGAGCTCATCAGCTGACACCAGCACATGCAATTAGTTAGGTTTCATGAATGCTACCTGGAAATATGTGCAACAGTCTCTTGATTGTCACTTGCCTGCAATTTTAATAATTTATTATGCATTGTTCTTTAAGGACAAATCAAGATTTCCCGGAAACACTTTGAAGAAGCTTTTAGGAAAGTGAAATCTTCAGTATCAAAAAAGGTAAGATAAGGTTCAAATATGTAAGACTTATTACTCCCCTGGAAAGGATACTGGAGGATGCTGGAGACTGGTGGGAATAGTTGATGTTGCAGTCCACTTGCATATATTTCAAACTGATCCTACTTGTTCCTGCACTAAACAAACCTGATGGTTTTTACAAGGTCAGAAATTAAAGTCTCCCTTTTCAGCTGCAGCTGCTGCATTGCACATAGATGGATTACTGTGTTATCGAGATTATCTTTAAGTGTGGAACCTTGGACTTGTCATTGACATTCCCACATTAGTTATATACCTGTCCCTAACCTCTCCTGTCTGTGGAATTTTCAGTTAAAAGCCAAAACCTTTAGAGTGCAATACACCCCCCCAGATGGATGTGACACCCAAGGATACTTGACTGTTTCTGTCAGTGTGCAAAAGACATCATTTTGAGATGGGACATAAAACACACTTTATCATCTTAGTTCTTTCTTATCAGTCTTTTCATTATTTGCATTTGTCAAGGAAGTTTGTTATGAGGTTTCTTTATGATCCGTTCTTTTTCATGACTGAAAGGAAAGCTGGTCAATCACCTTAATTACTATAATTTAGAAGTTTAATATATATAGGAATTGTTATTGCTGCAGAGCATTTGTGTATAACTCTGTGTTGCCAAGAGTGTACTGCAGCCAAAATACGTTAATATATTCACTTTGAACACTAGCCAGAGGAAAGTTAACTAGTTAATTATTTGCTTCCATTATTATTGTATGTTGATGGTCAGTGGCCTTTTCGAAAATTTAAGTGATCCTTGGCTCCAAGACCCTTTAAAGATGGTGTTGGGTGTTGTTTTCTTCCTCTTTGCTAACCACCAAGCAAAGGGTTCAGAAGCAACAACCACAAAAACATACCACTTTCTGAAAGCAGTTATTGCAGTGGAAGTTCAACATCTCCAAGTATTCTGTTCCTCAAACCTGAGTGACTAGTGAAACGGACTAAGGAACAATTTCAGTGAAGTAAGTTAAACTAGCAGAAGCAGATCTTGTCTGTTCATTCTGGCAGAACTAGATGAAGGAGTAAAGTGTCAGTTCAGCAGCTCCCCTGGTAAAAAGGGCAGTATCTTCTTAGTGAAACTGCAACCTGAACCTGGCACAGCAAGAGTAAGTCTAAGAACTCTGCCAAAGGCTTCTATTCATTACATCTCATTAGTGACTGTCACTGGAGAACCTCATTTATGGCACCAGGGTGACAGGTTTGCCTTATTTAGCTTTTTGTTTGTAAATGTTTTAAACTAGACCTAGTAGCTCATATAGCTGATTTGTTTCACTTTATATGTATTATTTAACAAAGCCACTTTTAAACAGGGCATGTTTGGCTTTTTTGTTACCATTGTCTGAAGTATTTTTTCCTCTTATCTTGGCACTGTTAGGATCAAATAATGTATGAAGAGCTGCGTCAGTCACTGTGCAGGTGACACGTGGACAATTCCCAAAAGACCCTTGTCCTCCATCGGTGGAGAGGTTTGCAATACTGTGCCTGATTAAGAAGAGACATGCTGGAAAGAAGCTGTACTAAGTCTCTCTCAGCTTTTTAAACTGTACCTGAAAAAAAGGTCATCATAACCTACTGCTCGAAACCATCCTTAATTAACTATTTCCAGAATTAAAAAAATAAAATACACAGTTCCTGCTTATCACCATTTAAATTTTTAAAAGGAATGCTTTTAGTGCTAAAGAGCGAATGCCTTTCTGATATATTTGGTGCCCTTCATCAGAAAACCCCTGGAGGCAGAGAGGCAAACCCTTCAAAGTGTTTACACTGCTGAGATGGCTGTTTTCAGCCATAAATGAAAACAGTTACATTTTGAAGAAGGACTCTGGTAGAAGAGGGCTGTGAAAGCAAACTGGGAAAGTGCTCCACTGGATGTTATCACACCATTGATCACGCCTTTCCCACATACAGTGACACACTGTGATTGTGCCAGCACAGGTTCTCAGAGCCTCTAACAGCTTCTCTTCACCTGTCAAAAGAAACTATCCACAGATGGCAAGCTGTCCTGAAGGTACCTAGGAGAGAATACAGTTTGGAAACCTGAGAAGTGCTATGATATTGTGATTTAACAGCCACCTAAGAAACATTTGAAACAGTAAGTTATCTAACAAGCTGGTTCTTAATTATTAATTTTTTTATAAAGACAAATCTGCAACCACAAGATTTTTTTTTTATAAAGACAAATCTGCAACCACAAAAATTTGTTATGGATTTGAATTTCTTAACTCAAGTGTTTTGATATCCTCTAGAAGAAGGAAAATATTACTGTTCTAAGAAACAGGCCAGGAGCCTAAAGCTTTTTATATTTTCTTTTTAATATATGATATTCCATCTTGGAAAGAGGGTCATAACTTTCAGCATCAGCAAACTGGGAAGTATCTGAGTTTAGACAACACTGAACAGTGACAAATACTGAGCAACTAATTTCTGAAACTTACAGGCCTTCATGGATAATTTTTTAGTGCTGCTGTCATTCTATGAAGTTGTTGAATCCTTCATCTCAGTTCCTGTCTTTGATCAGTTTTATTCTTCCTAGAAGCACTGCAACCATCCATCAGGGACCAGAAAAGGAAATGGATGATTTCTCCTGGCAAATTTCATAGAAAGCCTTTTAAGTTTAAAATTTTTTTCAAATTTGGCATTACTGAAGTAATGAAGTTACCATATAAAAAACAGTAAAATAATTTTTGTAAGAAACATCTATTGTGCAAGTACCCCCCAGCACATTAATGATCTCCTCCCTCTTAAATGTTCATCTCCTACTCAAATCATTTAAACAAAATGCCATGCTTTGCTAGATGTGACCCTGAACAGCTTGATCCAACTTTAAGTCTGACCTTGCCTGGAGAGGGAATAGCACCTCACATCTGAGATTCTCCTCTGAACTGCTGTCTGAAGAACCATCTTGTACATTTTCCCCCCCAAGGTTATTACACAGAACTGATCACCACTGATGCTCACAGCAGCCAGTCCTTACCCCTGTGATTTTTGCACCATGTGGTAGGATATTCCCTCTTATTTTTAGGGAACCTGAGATTCAGTGACTAACAAATGAGGTCCCTGCATACAGAGCAGAAGATGATGTGTCTGCTTGGCATTGTAAACCAGGCTTGGAGCTTCCAGAATTACCCTGATTCCCAGAAATCCAAAATGAAGGATTATCAGTTTATCTTGGAGTAGTTTCACTCGTGGCTGTTCATTACTGTGAGGCAATGCAATTAATACATATCAGTTAAGCAACTCATTTTAATGTAAAATTATACCTAGATGTACAGAGTTATACAAGAATTACCTACGTTACATAAGCTGTTTCCCTTTTTACTTCTAAATCTACAACTTCACAGTTTTACCACCTTTCTTAAATAAAAGGTTTTGCTTTATTTTTTATTTTGCAAAACTGTTTACACAAGGAAGTGCTGCACCCACACTGCTACCTGTTCTTGTGGGAAGTTCTGCTTAGGCTATAGTACTTACCACTAAAAACACTTGATAAGAGATAAAATGCAAGATCTCTTGTACTTGTACACAGAAAAATGGGAATCACTTTAAGGAACAAGCTTTTTCATGCAGTAGAGACCACTACTTTTTTCTGCATGTGCAGCTGCCACCCTCCAAACATGCCTGGAGGGGGTTTTCCCTCCAGTCATCTTGTTTCTCCTGGGACAAGATCAAGAATTTGTTCATCCTGCCATTCTCCTCTCCCTTTCCCTGAGGCTCACCATGTATCTCTCAATCACAGCAATGATTTTGTCCCTGAGCACTTTAGATGCTGACTTAAGCACAGGCAGGGGCAGCACAGGGAACTGTCAGCAGGAAAAAAAAAAGAAAGAAATGAATGCTGTCTTCATTCTTGGCTCAATAAGGAAACCTTTTCAACAATTTTGCCCTCACTAAAGGTTTGTCTACCACTGCAGGCTGGATTGTGAAATAAGAGGATTTGATAGAGAAAATTACATATATAAAGTTGCAGGCTGCTACTCCAAAGACACATCTACATGATTTGGACACACCTATTTGTCAGCTTGTTTTCCTGGGACCTTGCAGAAACAGTCCTGGCAGACCCAGAAGCAGCTCCTGCACTTTGTCCTGTCCTAGCTGGAACAGCACAACTTGCTTTGCCTGAAGTATTTTGAGACTCTTTAAAATGACAGGACAGAGGAGTAACTTTCCAAAAGCCACATCTTGGACCACTTATGCAAGATTGCTCCCTGAAAGAGCCTTTTCTCATGTGTGCCCAAGAGGATTAGTATGGCTGCCTGCAATCCACAGCACTGACATTATTGCTTGGTGAACCTTATCATTAAATAAGGAATGAACAACTTGAAATTCTGCTGTGGCAGATACAGGAATAAATGCCAAGGAGGTAGAGGTGAATCACTGAGCTAATTATCTAACAGTGTCTGCTTACTCAGAACAGCTCCATTTCTCAACATACATGGACTAGTTAAGTATTATGTGCTCGCTGGCTACATTTAAAGATTAACCCAGGGAATTTTGAGACACAGAACTGAAGTCTTAACTACGTTTCAACTGGCCTCTGGTTCCAGGTAGGAAGTCTTCTCCTAGATCTTAAAGCATGAAGCTCCGTAGCCAGAGAGATGCACCCATTTGACATGTTAATTGGGCACTGTTGTGGAACAGACAGGTTCAACAGCAAAACCAGAATGCCAGAGGCAAGAGTTGTTTTGAAAGAGGAATATATCCATATCCACGCCTGTCCTGTGGGAAAACCCAGGCCTAGTGTGATGAGACTCCCAGCTGCGTTACTTACACCACTTCAGAAGCTTCAAATAATTGGGGCGGGGGGATAGGAGGTGTGTTACGAGCTATGCAAGGCAGCTTATTGTCAAAACTGTAAGTTTTAACTGTTTAACTCTGTTAAACAGAGTCAGCTGTGCTTTGGCAGTTCAACTCCTGGCTGATTTCACTTAGGAGAGGTCTGCCAAACTGCCAGACTAGTAAGATGCTTTAGTTACACAAACCCTAACAAGTATGTAGAAAGAACAAAGTTAACTCATTCCATCTGAATAGATTTTTATATATATATATATATAAAAAAATTATAATTAGGTTAACTGTCAGGGTTCTTAATGCTTTTTAGGTTTAGTTTGTTCTTCACTAGTTAGGCAAAGCTCCGTCCAACTTTCAGAGCAAGTATTTCTAAAACTATAGTAACCTGTTTCTCCCAGATATTTTAATAGCATTAATGAAATCTATTTAATTCCTTAAAAAACAGTAACTAGATGGTTCACAGGTATTTAAAAATAATCCTGTCTCTTATTTCTGTGCCATGCCTTTAGACTAAATATCACATTATAACTATGACTGGAGAAAACTAGTTATTCATTTAGAATATATCAACCACAAAACAAGTAGTCCAGCTGCTCCTAATTCCTTTTACCAGTGGCTCAAACATGCTTCTAACTCTTTTTTAGAGATGAAGCTATACTGCAGTATGGGTTAGCTTTCAGATGATCTGCTTCCGCCAAAATCCCTGCTACTGCAGGGCCTCTTGTGTATTGCACATACTGCAGGCCTAAGATGCCAAAGCCTCTTGTGTATTGCACAGGAATTCTATGCCTAAGAATGGTAGTTACCAGTCCTTGCTAGAATCACACCATGGTTTCAATCCAAACAGCAGTCTCACTGGCTCAGATGACCCTTGTCCAGTAAATTTTCTCCAGTGAAAACATGCAGTAGCATATGTTTCAGGAAGATTATGCAAGCCAAGGTGTCTCCCACAGAAGCCCCCACTATTCTGCAGCTGTTAAAAGTGAAAACAAGGTATTTTGATTATATCAAGAGTTGGAAGGGAAGGTCATAGTCAGGACACCTTAAAGCAGTATTTGCTATTGCAAACAAGATAAATGGTGTTTAAAAGCAGGAATTCATACTTGCACCACCCCTTGGGCAGACAGCAAGGGGCATCAGTGATCCTACACAATAGGGAACTACACCCAAGCACGAAAGTTAAATTTTGAGCACCCAAATGAATACTTCAGATAGCAATTTCTCAACTGCAGCTTTTCACTGTAAGACTTTTTGGAGACAACTTCCATCCTTCATTCAGCTATGGCAATCTATTAAAGCTATTTAATTCCACCATTCACCTCTTAAATTGAGAAACAGTCACGCAGAAGCAGCTTAAAAAGAAGCTCTTTTGCAACTTAAACCTATGGAAGTCTTTCAGCCAAAGTCAGTTTTGTTCCCAGGAGAAAGGCAAACCAGCAATTCTTTACAGTTCATCTACACTACCACTCAACAGAACAGCTCTTGCAGCTGCTTTAAAAACACCAAATTTCTCTAAAGCTTAAGTCCTTCAGCATTAGGGGACCAGTCAAAAATTCACCCAAGGTTACTTTAATCTTTGCTTTTTAATTACATGTAAAAATACTGGATAAGGACTATTTTGACATGACACTATACCCTGAGCAATTTGCTGGCTGGCATGTTATTGGCATCATAACAAAGTCACTTTGTAAGTGGCTGGCACACTTCCATACCATTTCTATTACTTAAACACAGATAAGGACCCACGCTTAAAAAACAAAACACGCATTAGAAACAGGATCACAATCAAGTGAGGGTTAAGACTGACCAGCAAATTCTTCTCAGGCACTCAGCTTCTTCCAAAAGCCCCCAAAACCCCATAAAATGCAGGAGCTGGAGGCATCTAAAAATTAAGTTACTTACAGCAGACCAGTGCTGACAGTAGCTACGACTTCAACCTTCATCAGATTCCATCGTTCAGATAAGTGAAGAACATACTGCAGGATGATTTAAGGGTGATTTGTAGCCACCTGTGACAGCTTAAAGCCATCATTAAAGCATTACATGACAGAAGGCAAATATACTGTGCTGAGGTACACATAGACTCATTCCTCAGGGTTCAACAAGTCTACCCATTCTCTGTTCCCGATTTTAAAACTTCTTAAGCAAGAACTCTGGTACCACCACCTGCGCTCTCACCATGGTTTAATATGAAAGACAGATAAGTGTTTGTTTAGGGTACTGTGGGTATAAGGAAAAAAAATAATCAAGATTATTTAGCAACACTTTTCTGTGTACACAAGCAACTAGTATGCTTAACAGGTAGAGTTGTCAGGGGGTGTAGCTACCCTTGTTTGCCAGAACGGGATCTGCTTCACTTGATTCAGTTTTCCATACAAGTCAAACTTCCAACTGAGTGTAAATATTAAGAGTTAGCATTTAAAAAGCCATGGTAACAGCAGAGCCAACTCAAAAAATCTTAATCATTTTTTCTTGGCGGATCAGAAAACCCCCAAACTGTAACAAGATTTTTCAAATATGAAAAAATCTTATCAGTTGTATGACGTTACCCAGGGGCTGACACAGTACAGTTCCAAGTGCTGGCTGCTGGAGCTACGTGCTGACACAAGCAGCTCCGGCAGAAGGTGGGAACCCCTGAAGGTGACAATTCCCCACATTTTTTACAAGGACGTTACAAAAGCCATCTCAAAAATGCCAATTTCATTCCAATAGATTGCTCCTTTAAGCTACTTCCAGTAGAAAAGGTAGAACTTTAAAGCAGTGCTTCAAATGACACGTTACATATTTAAACAAAAGCAGACTTAGCATTTCTGTGCAAATTTAGTTCTTCCACCCATCAGTTAGGAAACAGGTTCAACAGAAGGTTTAAGTTAATTCATGTTAGTTTAGAATTATCAGTAAGTACAGCATTTTAACACTATAGTCATCTAAAGAGCACGTTGTGGGCAGTGTACGACATGGAGAACTTATAAAATATTACGAGTCAGAGAGATACTTTCACATAGATTTAACACCTGCCAAAGTAAATTCTGTAACAAAGTGATTTAGCATTTATGCATATAACACTGATCCTTAGGCAAACACACAAACATTAAACCAATGAATCAGAGGACTGCAAGGAATGTTATAGCTGGCAGGAGTCTGCTACCAAATCCTTAAGGATGCATTGCTGTGTTGCTGGAGATCTTAATTCAGGACACCAGGGAGCATCTTTAGCAAGAGACCTTATACCAGCCACTTTAAAGCAAGCAGACATTTCCAAGTTTTTTTGTTGCTAGAAGTTTAATCTTGCTTCACTTCACCCTTTAGTTGCCTTTTCATGCGTGAATATGGGCTGATTGTGTCATCCATCACGAAGTCATACAATACTTTTATCCAAGAGTTATATTGTGGCAGGTTGTCATAGTATTCAGCTGCTATTTTCTTCACCTGAAGAGGAGATAGGAAGTTTATTTACTATTTATATTAACACCAATCATTACAACTTTACAATCCTCAACCTGAAACTTCTAGTGCTCTACATTAAATTACATTTTAGATGTTAGAGCCTACAGGAAAGGCTACTAGTGGCACAGTGTGAAAATCTCATGGAGGAAAAAGCAACTCCCTTGTTAAGTAAACTTCATGTGAAGCTTTTCTTTTGAAGCTGCCCAGAACAAACTCTGTTATCACTCCCAAGTCCGCTCACTGTGCAACCTACGGCACAGTGGAGCTCACAAAAGCAAGCAGCTTGGTCGCTACTGGAAGCGGGTGACTCAGTCCAGTGCTGACTCATAGGTGTGCGAGTATTACTAAAAAAGGATGTTGTCAATTCTGGGAAGAGATATTTAAAACAGCTATTTTTACATGTAGCTTCAAACCTTAGTGCTCAGAAGAAAAAACATCCTATTTCTGAGGAACATCACATCTTGTTTCTGAAGATAAAGATTAAAGAGTGAATATGAACTGCTTCAAAGCCTTTATTCTCAGGTGCACACACTGCATAATGGTCTCAGACTAGACCACCATTTTAAGAGAGCTGGAATTCCAGTTACTTATTTTTAAGACCAACTACCTAGATCCTTGAAAACCTGACCAGAACAAAACTCATTTTTCACTAAATCCCATACCTTTAAACAGAAGGCAAGTATTAATCTGTATAAGCAATAAACAAACCCAAGATATTTGCATGCCTGGTTTGGGGCTGGAGATCATTTTGATCTCTCCTCACACTTCGAGATGAGTGCATGGAGCCAGTGAACTTTTATTCAACAGTAATTATTCTCAGCTCCCCAGTACCCTGGCTGGAATTAAGTGTTCAGTACTTCAGTGATCTTTAGCACACATCATAGCAGAGCCCAGTCCAATCAAATTAACTACACTGTTCTAAAAGGCAGCTTTGGTTTATTACTAGAGCTGTGGATTAACAGTCCTGTAGCAGAGCTGGGTATTTACCTCTGCAATTAAACACTTAGGAAAAAAAAAAACAAACCACAACCTTTCCCTATTTACAACTTCAGTTCTGGTGCAAGAAGTAAAATGCTGGTTCCCCAGCACTGGTCTAGGTATCAAAAGTGAGTTAAAGCTACTTCAGCTATATTTGAAAGATGAAGTCTATTAATAAGTCATCTTTTTTAAAAACCAAAACCAACAGAACCCACGGAAGTGGAGTCTTAACAAACCAATTACAGACCTTAGTAACTGCACTGCTAAAGAAGTGCTGGAGTAGTTATTTCATCTACGGTTCCACCACTGACAACAGAAATAATCAAGTTTAGACTCCAAAGGCACAAGCTCACAAGGCCTTACCGTCACCAAGTCCAGCAACAAAGCTACAAGCCCAACTGCAAATTCAGTGTCTGATTAAAACCACTTTTCACTGAAGATGAGTTTTATGTGTAACCCTGGAAGCCTGTGCTCCCATGCTCCAACAGGGAAACAGGAATACAATGAGAATTAAGCTCTTGCTTAAAGGAAACCAGCAAAGATTGAAGTAGGGGGAAACCAGTTTAAAATTTTGTATCTGCTCCTCATATGTCAGGTCTAAGTCTTGGTTTTGAAGCCTTAATTCTGTCAAAGTACAGCTGATACTTATGCAGGGTTCAAAGGATCTCACTAGAAAAAACTGAGCTGTTCCAAAGCAGAAAGCTATTAAACATTTCCCAGTAGTCCCACAAACGTTAGCAGCACCTCAAACCCTCTCTTTCCCACCCCACGAATGTCAGTGACAGAGGAGACTGAAAGATAAGCATACACTACAATATTGTCCTTGAGATTCCAAAGACAGAGCTGACAAATATCTGAAGGTACCTGCAGCTTCTTAACTTGTTTTCTGCATTCTTTCAAACTGAAGAAATCAGAACTCGGGTTGTAATGACAAAACTAAGACCAGCATCTCTTCTCCTCCCCTTTGATGGAAGAGGTTGGAGCGTGCAGCACATTGGGAGCTTGATCAGGACACCATGAAAATAGTAATTACCCCCTTCATCACTCAACTTAGAAATTGTTCTCAGGGGTTTTGGGGTTGGTTTGTTTGTTTTAATCTCCCAACTTCCATTGTTCTACCTGATTTTCATGTTGAAGCAGGGCTTATTTTAAGAAGTTATAACATTGGAAGTAAACTTACCAGTGGAAGGCTCTTGCCAGGAATATTGGGGAAGTCATGATGTTCGTTGTGATAGCCAACATTAAAAGTGAGCAAATTAAGTGGCCCATAATAGGAATAAGTCTCATGTCCTTTTAAAAACATGTAATGTTCAGCTATGAAGTGTCCTGAAATTGGGTGCAACCCAAGCCCAAGTACTGAGCCAGCAAGCATGTAAAAAGTGGATTTGACTCCCCATAAATAATATATCACGATATCAAAGGAAAGCTGAGCCAATAAATTGATGATTTCGAGTCGAGTAATGGGTTTGGGATTGATGCAGAGAGGTCTAATGGCATAGAAAAAGGGCTGAAGAACAATCCATATGAATTTCCTAAAACGGGTGCAGAAAAACCAGCCTTCAAAGTTGGTAGGAATGTCCACGTCGATTCCATCGCCTCCCAAGTAACGATGATGATCCATGTGGTATCTCTTGAAGGATATGGAGTACGGGAGACCAAGAGGGAGGTTGGCAAATATTCCAAACCATCGATTCCACATTGCTTTGCTGTTGCCGAAGGCACTGTTGTGAGAGATCTCGTGAATAGCCAGAGTCATGGAGTGGCTAATACAGCTTCCAAAAACATACGCCCAGAAGATTACCCACTTCCAGTCCAAATCTTTAACCAGATAAAATGCAGTCAACTGCGCGAGAACCATCAGCACAACCACCCAGATCAAGTTGTAGTCTGGCTTCATCAACGCTTTTATCTCTGGATGCTTAGCTAGATGAGGGAGAATTAAACAAAAAAAGCAATTATTTAGAAGCGCTTCTTCACAGCCAACTATCCCAATGGCATTACAAGAGCAGGTACAGTCATTTCTCCCCTTCCTCCCAATTACTGAACAAAGGTAACAAATGAATAACGAATTAATTCTTCAGAATTAAACCATTTTGGCATATTTTTTTTTTCTGTTGCTCAGCAACTAGACACGTAGATGACAAGCACCGGTACCACCTCCACCCTCCCCAGGAAGGAAACGGCTCTGAACCGACATCCCCCCCCGCAACCCAGGCGGCCTCCAGCGAGCTCCGGTCCCATTGAGGCGCCTTACTCGAAAACGCGGTTATTTACCCCAAACCCCGGGTGCCGCCGTGACCTCCACGCCTTATCTACCCCCC